GCATTTAGAGGAGGGGAGAGTGAATGCACACAAAAAACATGTGGTTAAAAAAAAGTTCAACATAAATGAGTAAAAAGATTTGGTATGTTGGTCATTCGGTAAAAGCCAAATTCACAATTTTAGATAACTGCTCTGTATTTTTCGTGTTTGGTTTTTAAATTTTACTTCCAGCCCAATTTCTTTCTGTTCTCAAATTTGTTTTCTTCAGGTCTTGTGCCCATTTCTCTTTTTTTTTTCATCATTTTTTTTTCTTTATTTTTAAAGGTATCCTACACCTAAATCACGTAAAATTTCATAAAAAATGTATCAATCTTTTTTGTTGTACTGATGGAGAAATTTAAACTTGTTTTTTTGTCTAATTGTTTGTGTTTTCTTTAATCTACTTAAAAGATGTAACGGAGTCCAAACCTCTTATAATTGGACTGGGAATCATTTGTAGTATTGGAAAATATTGGAATTTTTCGTCCTGGGTGTCACAATCATTATAAATCATAACAGTGGCGAAGTGGTTCAAATTAGTAATGGTGACTAATATTTTATCATAAAAAAAAGCAAAAAGAAATAAATCTCATGAAACTCCAAACATGCTTGGAACTATTATCATATTAATCTCAATCCTTCAATGAATAGCATCTTCTTGACTTATTTAAATGTTTTGTTGTTGTACTGAGGAAGGCATGTGCTGAAACGTTTACTTGTGTATTATGTATAATTGTTATTAACGCTTAAATTATATTGTTATATTGAAACAAGTTGTTCGTGTCGAATTAATCTTTCTTAAAATTCATAATGTATCAAAACAATTTAAACTGTTCAACCGAATCTCCATTGATATCAGCGAACAAACAATAAAAAAACCAGAATTAAATAAATGGACACTTGGCTGATATGTGGTGTCCGAGAGTGTATTTTAGATAGAGGGAGGAAGAGAGATGGACAGGGAAAGGAAAGGGTGGAGGAAGGGGAGAGAAAGAGGGCCGGGGAGGGGGGGGAAGAATGAGTTGCATGGGTGCATTGAAACAGCTAATAACAACGTTACAGCACTGTGGACATAACTCTCATCGACCAAACTTCTTTTGTCTCAGCCTTTTTCCTTTACGTGTAATCCAACCTCGAAAATTCAATTTGGTTAATAAAACAGCATTTAGAGGAGGGGAGAGTGAATGCACACAAAAAACATGTGGTTAAAAAAAAGTTCAACATTGGACAACACAAAGTGTATTCTTGAATATTCCATAGAAGTCAAAATATCATACTTCTAATGACTTTATAAGTCAACATATCATGACTTCAAATTACCTTATAAGTCAACATATCATGACTTCAACAAATGATCTACAAGTCATTACATCATGACTCAAATAACTTTATAAGTCAACATATCATGGCTTCAAATGACTTTATAAGTTAACATATCATGACTTGAAATGACTTTATAAGCAGATATTGATTTTTTATCCATTATAAGAAAATCCACCAAAATGAGATGGGAGAAATAAATTACGATCTATC